TTGAATTTGTTCTATTCTACAGTCTGTTATTTCAGGACCTTATTAAATATATATATAATATGGGGCTCTAACATGTAGGGCCTTGTGGGTTTTTTCTCTATTCTTTCTATCTGCTCATTTGTTCATGTATTTGATGAGCACTCATTGAGCATTCACTGTGTTTTTATCCCTTGTCCCAAGATTTGCTCCTCACTTTCCACTATGACCAAAAAGCCCCTCTTAAAGCCTCTTCTCTCCAGTTCAAATTACATGCTGTGCTTGGAAACCACATAAGCAAACCTACTTCAAATGTGCACAAAAATAGTCTTTCTCTTCAGGGCATGAGTCTAGGTTAAAGGTTGGAGACTTGATAGGAAGGAAAGCCTTTAGGAATTTCCTCAGACAACAGGCTGCAGCACATGGCTAATAAGAGCTTTATTTTTTTCTTTGCTTTTTTACCCCAGCTCTTGAGTGTGCGCTGGAGATTGTAGGGAGATAGGAATGCTGGCTGATGAAGTTCTATGTATCTCTGGCTTGGTCCTTTGTGATGTGAAGGCCTCTAACTTCCAGGTTAGTGCCCAAGAATATCACTGACTAAGCACAGGAAGAATGATACAGCAAATTAGAAAAGTCAGACACTGCGTTTTGTATTTAAGTATGCTGATGATATACTGGGGCCTTGGAATAGGGCTCTTCACAGAATGTAGGGTACCTTAAATACAAATGGATCCCCTATTCAAATAGCATGGTTCAAATAAAAGTCTGAAAGATTTCACAGAAGTACAGGTTTTCCCCTTTATCTCTGATTTATTTTCCTGGCCCAAATGATTTTTTGTAAAAATCTTTAAAACAATGAGGTTTCCTAGCCCACAACTATTACCACATTTGATTCTTCTCCTCTTTTCTTTTCTTTCTTTCTTTGTTTTCTTCCTATTAGGAGGTAGGGAAGTGGGGTGGAGGGAGTAAAACACCCAGGGTCTTTAATTTGAAGCTTAGGCAAGAAAGGAAATTAATTGAAATTACAAATACATAAAATTAATCTGAGTCCTTAAAACTAAGTGTCACCATGGAGACCAGAGTAGGAACTGTCTCCATGGAGATCTGAGTGATTTTTTTTTTTTTTTGCTTTAAATTATTATCACTTGTTACCAGATGCCAATTTGGCCAAGAAAAAGATGAGAATTAATTAATTAATTAATATTATAACTAGCCTCACATGAGAAAATTTTTAAGGGAAAGTCTAAATTTTTCTGGTTCCTATTTTTCCATTATTATAGTGGGTGGGAAAATATCCCAGGAGATAATTTTACCTCAAATCAGAATTTCTAATGAAAACATCAATGACATGATTCCTCAAATGCTACAGGAAGTAGGGAAAGATAATTTTTAGAAAAGATGTTTTCTAACTCAGAAGCATCAAGGTGTGATGAGTGCAATATGGTTCATCTAGTTACCACTCTAGTTGCAAGGAAGAGGTGGCCCTTTGGCAATGTCTTACCCTGGTAAGGGATCAGAGATGTCCCTTAACAACCATCCTGTTTATTTCACTTTATTGTGCCTGTCATACATAATTGTTTTTAATGGGTGTAGTGAAGTCAACCAGCCTTTTATTGCACACCAGTTGAAGATAAACTGGACAAATACAAATATCTAAGCTGTAAAATCAGAAATAAATCAGTATTCTCCTAATTACAGATTGTATTTGTACCTATGGGTACAGTCACTTAACTGATCAAATACCCAAATGCTCTAGTATACTATTAGGGGTTCATCAATTAAATTAAAAAATCACTGATAAAAGTGATTGAAATTTAATAAAAATATTAATAGATCATAGAATAAGTCAACAGAATGCTAATAATTATGACCAAAATGCATTATTCATTAGAAGTTGATACACACTGAATTTATGTGGCTGTTTTAGTACAGATATTGGTAACTGGCTGAATTTGGAAGGACTTCAACTGTACAACCAGCTGCAGAAAATGCTAGCATTGCTCAATTCTACAGTCGATTCTCATTATTTGCATGATCTATAGAGTTGCCAGAAACACTCATTTAGTGAATACTGTAGCATTTTTCCTAGAGGAAACAGGGTAGGTTCCTATGAGCCTCTGGTCATAATATTTTCATGAACTAATCAATACATAATCTTGTTTCATGTGCATTTCTGTTTAAATACATCTTATTTAATATATATTGTCAACTCATTAGCATTGAACTTACTGCCAACAGCACTCTACCTCATGCCTAAACAAAACTTATCTAACAGGTTTTCTCCCTCAGGTACATCACAGCTCTCCTGTGCTTGGGAACACTACAAAGTACTTCAGCACCATGCTTGGGGGACATTTTAACACCAACAAAAAACCCACACAAAAATTTAACACTGAGTAGATAGTGAAAAGGACACTTGTGTACATGTGAAGGCCGAAACAAGAAGGGAGAGTGTTGCTGTGTTTGACCTCAGTTGAGAGCATGTATGTGGGAACATTTTTTGCCCTTTTATTGCCTTTCTGCACATCTCTATAAATGACTACAAAAGTATCTCAAGTATTGATTTTGAGTTAAAAGTAAATTTTAACCAGTTTGTAAGTTATGAATAAATTTGAGCCAGTATACAGAATCTTCAAATAATGAGGACCAACTAGAGAATTTTCCAACTAAAGAGAATTGTTTCTATTGCCTGTGATCTTACTATTCTATTGCCTTTGGCTGCTCTCTTTTGTCTACTTATGGGATCCTATTCATCCTTCAAAGCTCTGCCTAGAAACACACACACACACATCATCATCATCATCATCATCCCTTTCCTGTTATCCTTTGCTTCATATACTCAACTCTACTATGCATAAATCAGATTCTACTGGATTTATTGACACTATTCTCCTGTACCGACCAATGAAATCCCTTGAGGCCAATGACCATGTTTTTGTACACGTCAATAATCTTTACTGTGCATCATGTGCACGGGTCCTTCATTGAATCATGCAGTAATCCTATCATCACCATTTTACAATGGCTGAAACAGAGACCTAAAGCAGTCAGGTCACTTGCCACATCACCTAGCACCAGAGTTGTTACTCAAACCAAAGTTATTCAAAAGTCTAAGCTTTTGACCATTGTTACACTACGTAGTGTCAGTTATCATATACTTAGATATGTTCAAGGCATATGATAAATGCTTTACACAAACAATCCCTTTGATAATTTCTGTGTTTCTATCTCTGTGTTCCCAACCATGGCACACACATGTTCATTGGGTTGAATTTAAGTCTTCTTGCTCCCAAATCTTCCCTCTAGTACCAACAGCAGAGAACCTGCTATGTTTTCATCAGTGGCTGGAATGATTTACAGGACTTTCTCCCCTCACCGGGCTCCTCACCTCTTTCACATTTATGTTCTGTGGATTTTCCTATTGATGTATGTGATCTTCATAAGGCAACTTTTTCAAGCAATGGTAGAGCAGAAGAAAGCAGAAACTTTTGTCCCTTTGCAAAAGTTCCTTCTCTTTAATAATATCTTCCAGTGGTGATTTATAACATGAACTAAATCATTATGGAGTAAGTAAGAGAACTATAGAAGAGCTAAGTGTTTTGCTCTAGGGCCATGAGGTAAGCCCTATATGAGGCTAGAAGAGGCTGCTTCCCAGAGTAGCTTTGGATTCCAAATCTATGTAACCTCTCCCATTGAATTCAAAGTAGGCAGAGGGTCAGTGTTAGGGATGAGAAATAAAGGTAGGGGAGTAAGCCTGCGGGAAAATGGGGAGTAGGCAGGCTTTAGGAAGTTTGCAAGAGAGAAACCACAGGTGTCACATACATTACACAAGTGAATGGAAACAAGCAGGGTTAAAATCAAAAAACCATTCATCTCCTTTCAAAGCCAAAAGCATAGAGTAGACAAAATTCGTGACTATTTTTGTTTTTCTCTTTCTGTCTACTTCCCTTAAATATTCCAAATAGTCCAAAAGTCATTATTGTCAACAGTATAGTCAGGAATGTTGACCCAAAAAGAAAGTCTCCAGTTTTATTCCAGTTATACAACTTAGTGATATCAGTCTCTGTAATATTTAATAAGAGAATCTCTAAGTGAATTCTAAGCACAATTCCTAAGCATGGGAAGTAAATCAAATCCTTCCTAAGGTCAGGCCAGATTTACAAGACTGAAGTTCATAGAGAAGAACAATTCCCATCTTCAGAAAAGGCTGTAGTCAGCCTCTTGTGCAGTCACCATTCCCAGGGGAAGAAAATCCTCCTCATCAGAACTTTCAGCCATCAAGACAACACAAATTTGGATTTTTATGTGAATCTCCTACTTTTAAATGTGGCTATCTAATTAACAAGAAGATATGTAAGCAGACTACATACTAAACAGTGTCTGTTGATCTTACCAACTATGGGAGACTCCAGTTTGCTAGCTCTGGCCACAGCAGTCTTAGTAAATAGTCATGGTGATATTTAGGAACCTCTTTCAAACCACTCTGTGTGTCTGTTCTCCCATCACCACCCCCCACCACACACACACCACCCATCTAAGAAACCGCAGCTCTGGAGGCTTGTTCTCTGAACAGACAATGCCCTCCTGCAGATGGCACTGGCCTTCCAGCAAAACCTGCCTTGTATGAATAAACACTAGTCTCAGAAAGATGATTTCCAGACTCTTGGGTGAATGATCTAAGGCCGCAGGTGGCCAGGTCACTGGCAGGGGCAAGTTTGGGCCCACGCCCAAACTTTCCTAGCTCTTCCTGTTTGTCCAGATCTCACTCTCTGCCTGTCTCTTGCTCTGTTGTTTCCCTTTCTTTTCTTTCTCTCTCCCCTATTCTACTTCTCTTCCTCACCTCTTTTATTATTATTTTTTCTTTCTCACTTCTTTATTCTCTTTTTCCTTCTTTCTTTTCCCACCCTCTTTTCTCATTTTCTCTTCTATTCACTCTTCTCTCCACGACTGGTCCCTCTCCGGTACTTTCCTATCCCATCCCTTCTCCATTCCTCCCTCCCCCCAGTACCCAGGAACTGGCTCACCAGGAATACACCAACACGGGCCTCGAGTATTTCTTGTGATGGGAGCGGAGGGTCAGGGAGCCCTTGCGCTCGAGCAAGTCGGTGGGTCCGATCTCATAGCAGTATTGATTACTGTCGCACAATGGGGAGCTATCGAGGCTCCCCATGGCCGTGCTGGAGGTGAGAACAGACCTCAAAGGATTTCCCTCTGCACCTGTCTTGCCCTGAGCAACAAGGCCAAGATTCTGCGTCTCTCATCTCCTAAGCAACCTGGGGCGGGGTCAATGGAGGGGGCGGAGACAATGGAGGGGCGGATCCCTCCGCCCTGACCGCCCTGGTCTCCAGAACCTTGTATTGACTGATAGGAAACTGCATTTCCCGGAATGCAGTGCGGGTAGCCGCACAGATGTTGGGAGGGATACTGGGTGCTGGGATATGTAGTTTCGCCCACCCTCCCGCTGAATCCTGGGAGTGGCTGAGCGGAGAACAAGGGGTCAATTCAGGGTAAGGAGACCTGTTAAAGTCCCTGAGCCACAAGCGGTTCTCATGCGGCTTTCCCTGTGGGAGTTCTTTTTGCCGTTCATCATCTGTTTCAATTACATCTCTGCTTCCAAAGTTATTTAAGTTTGATCAAGAGGGAGCAAGAGAACCCCCTCAAATCCTAAATTTTATGTATTTTCTATATAGCTTTCCTACCTGCAAAAGAGCAGAATCATTCAGCAAATCGGCGAAAAAGTCTGAAGATCAAAAAGCCTGGCTCCAATTTCAGCTTCTTTCTCAACTTTTTTGACACTAGTTTTTAACTCTGGAAGCAGAGAGGGGTGGAACTGGGGAAGGGGGAGGATGCACATAGAATCTCAGGTCACTTAAGGCTTGGAAGACAAAATATTATCTCTAGGCACAATTTAGGGCCCCCGAATTCAGCTCCCTGTGTTATCATTGTAACTTTTGTGATAACACAAATTCATCACATTTTGTGTTATGTGCTATATGTGACAAGATTCAAAAAAAAATTATGGCAGTGCGTTAAAGATGTCATTAGGTAGCTATGTAATAGAAGGAAAGGTACTTATTTCACTTTTTTTATTTTCCAGAAGAAGAAAATTTAATGCGTCAAAGTTCTTTTACCCATCCTTATCTGAGCACTTTGAGGACATTACTGGACTTATGCACAGACTCATTCTTACCTAGTACAGTGCTTAGTACATGGTATCTTTCCAGAGTGTTGAGTGAATGTTGTTTGACTACCTTAGGTATACCTAGGCTTCCATAAGTTCCAGAAGTGTCTTACTTTAAGAAGATCCCATGTACCCAAAAATCCAGTCTTAAGTACAAACTGAGATAATTCACTTTACAAATCAAAGTCTCTCATTTACAAATAATTTATTACAGTACTTATATAAATACTGAGGTGCTCTCCTCTATCAGATTTCACAAACTTAATTAAACACAACCACTAAGTGCTTTTCTGTGGCCTGTGGTGCAAAGTGTGGGCGCCTGTGGTACACTAAGATCTGTTTTATTGACAGTCACAGTTAAATCATAGTATTTAAAACTAAATAAATAGTCCTCTACTGCTGGCTAAGTGCTCACAGAGTGCTGACTGCTATTTTAGCCCCTTTCTTCTTGAGGCACAAACAGAAAAATACGGGACAATTTAAAAAGGGTTAATAAAATCCACGTGACATTCAGTTGTGTTCAAAGCAGAGCATATTGCTGCTGCATCCAATGTATTTCCCTCATTTCTATCATCTTTTTGTGCATTTATTTCACTTATGCTTAAAATGGTGGTAACATAACTGATAACTGATGTGACAGGACTCTGCAGATGATTTGACTCAAAGACAAAAATTGCCCAGAGCCAAGCTCCTTCTGCAGTGCATTGGGGCTGCAGAGACCTGAAGGCTTTCAGCACAGAAAACAAGCAAAACAAGCATAGCTTTTATTTTAGAGTTCCTTAAGCCAAACTGACTGCCTACTTGAGACTGTGCATATGCTTATTAGCATAGTCTCTCCTTTCTTTATCAACTTTATATGCTTTTGTGTTCTCTAGGTCTGCTAAATACTTGTCAGCATCCTTGTGCTGGAATGTAGGAGATTAAACCTGAGAGCCTCAAGTGCAGATGCATTCCACTTTCTTTGTGTACACCAATACGTTCTTTGGAATTTTTGGTTTCCTGATTTCCTTATAAATATAATAGGAAAAACAGCAGTGATCACAGAGGGTCTTTGTGAGAATAACATAATAAATACTCCAAAAGCAGTGGAACACTGCCTAATAGATGCTCATCCCTCAATTAAATTTCAATGACTACTAGTGTTGTTATTATATCCTTTATCATTTGGAAAGCTACCCTGAAATACAGTTGTCATTTGGGTGTAGTTCCCTAAATACATTCACTGAGTTTTAAGCTATATCTCTTGGGTTTATTTTTTTAAATGAGTATCTTTTTAATCAAATTTTTCTTTCTTTTCCTTTTTCCCCAGAATGTCTCATAAAAGAGTCGAATATACCACCGTGTAAAATCAGAAAGTAAAATAATGCTAGTTCCATGAATTGTCTCTTTTCCTCATGTGAATCCATAAAAATACCAGGATTGACAGGAAAGAGCCCAATGAGAAGATTTTTTTATCATATTTTAATAAGAAATGTAGTAGTCTGAATAAGAAAATATTGGCAAGATATTTGGATGTGTTATCAGTGAAAACAAGTTGATTGTGTATTCATATAGAATCTTTTGAAGACTAAATAAGCTTTATGCTTCATGAATGTGAAATCACTGATCCTCAGCACATTCAAGTTGTTCCTGTTTTCTTCAAACTTCATCAAACCAGTGAGGCATGGGGCTGAAAGCCTTGTATTTACATTAGTCCTTTTCTCTGTAATATTTGTGGGGTGACAAAATTATAACTCAAGAAAATGAAACAAGACTTTTCTGTTGGATAAATGCAGGCAGGCCAACCTGGGAAATGGAAAAACGTCATCTGGACAAATTCCATTATTATCTTTATTTTATTTTATTTTACTTATTTTGTGATGCTGGTGATTAAACCCAGGGCCTCACACATATTAGGCAAATAGTCTACCACTGAGCTATACCACCTGCCCTAGTTTTCTTTATTATCTTTGTCAGGTCCCTGAAAAGTCTGCCAAGAACTTTGAGCAGGACAGCAAACTAAAAAAAAAAATTTTAAAAACAGCTAGATGTAAGTGGCCATGGCCACAGGTACAAACCTCCTCTCCATTTCCTTGCCCTTCCTATCTTAAGTACCATCTGCCCAGTTCCCAGGAAAGGCTCTGCTCAGCACCTTCTATAAGGCACCAGCAGAATGCCCTCCCCATTATTAAAATTTCTTGTCTCTAACAAATGTCTTTCAACTAAGCTAAGACACATTGATTCAAAACTAATTTGTATTATGTGCATGTCAATCTAATTGAGATATATTAAAAACTGCTTGTACAGTACTCAGAAGTTAGGAACCAAGCATTTGTGTCCTAATCAAGAATTGCACAGCAATTTTTTTAGTCCCCAGAGATAGGGAGCTCCTGTCACCAACCATACATTCATGTATGGGTGCTCTATTGAATAGTAAATATAAGAAGAGTTGGATACTACCTGTTATGTCCAAATGATAAGAGATCCTACTCATTCTGATTCTTCCCATCCTCTGACCCATGTCTTCTTTCCCCTCTCCCTCACCCATTTTCTTTTCCATTTCCTTACTTTTCCTCCTCCTATCGCTTCCCCTTCCATGCCCTCCTCTTTTTCTTCATCCCTCCTTTTATTTCTCCCTCTCCTCCTTCTGTCTCTCATTCTATTTTATTCCCTTCTTTCTCCTTTTAGAGTCGGCATAGATTTGGGAGTCAGAGTCTTTTTCTGGGCCCTCAGAGTCTTTTGCTGTTACAGTTCAAAGTTATATGAAGCATATAACAGAAAAAGAACTCAGACCTAGAAACCAAGGCCAGAATTTATACAAATAAGCTCATGCTTAACAACCCAGGAACTCTCAAAAAGGAGTCAACACCAGCAAAAGCTTTCATCTTCTTATTTTCCCTTTAACTATTTATAACTACCAACTACCAATCTTTTTCAGAAGGATTTTAACCTAGAATGTTAGTCCTCTGTGCTTTTAATTTGGATTAGAAGGCATCTACTTTTCCCCTCAAGCCCTCATCATTAACTAGTATTGATTAAGCATCAACATGCAGCAGACATTCTTTCTGGAACTTCCACTATCAGCATGGGGGGATTAATTTATTAAATTTTCAACATATAGTATTCTATAATTCAACATTTCCCTTATTTTAATATCTAGCTTTGCCAATAAGTGAAATTTTTTGGCAGAATTGTCCGTAACTATTATGATAAAATTTTAATGCCCTGCATTAGTAATGACAGGCACTAACATAAATGTAGATTAAGGATTTCTTTAAGATCCTACAAATAGGATATCCTTAATTATTCAAAGACTAAATATTCACTTTCACAAATGATCTAAGCCCTTGATTTCTTCCTTTTCTTCCCAATACTGCTTTGCTTCTTGTCACCTTCCCTGTTTATTAGCAGCAAGAATGAGAGATTCAGCCACTAGTTAACCATTATTATAAAGAATGATCAAAAGAGTGGAGCTTGAAATTAAGGTTGATATTGTTGATTTCTTCGTTCCTCATGGCCTTTAATCTGGATAAAGAGGCTCATATCTCAAGACAGAAGCTCAGAGGAAGTGGGGAAGGGTTGGGCGCCTTTCTGCACCTGTTGGAGGTGGACATTTTTCCCTGTCCTAACAAGCCCTGCCCCAGATGTCCAGTGAGGTTGTTGAGAAATGCCCTGTTAGGGTCAGGTGTGTACAGGTAGTTTCTGATGTTGAATAAGACAAACACATGCCTGTGGTTGCCTAGTTACTGCTCTCTGGGGAGGGAGGCTTAGGGAAGAATCTGGAAAACTTCCTGACCCTGTCAGGAGGAAAAAAAAAAAAAAACACAGTGACAGTTTTTCTGTTTTTTTAAAGGTTGAGTTTGAAGTGGTCACTTAATTGCTTTGATATAAATCAAGTCTAGGAATTTCCCAAGTAAAACAAATGATTTCTAGTTAAAGTTTCTCTAATAGTAGTGACTCAACAAGTCCAAAAGCTGAATCAACCCCATTAGGACAAACAAAAGAATTCT